CCCCTCGGGCAGACGCGTCGCCGTGATGAGAAGCTCGCTGCCGGAGTCCATGATGCGCGAGGCAAGCGAGTTGGCGGAGAAGCCGGCGAATACGACCGAGACAACGGCGCCGAGCCGGGCCGCCGCCAGCATGACCTGCACCGTGAAGGGAATCATTGGGAGGTACAGGGTGACCACGTGGCCCTTACGAATGCCATACCGGTGCCGCAGCACAGCTGCCAGCCGCAGAACGGCCTCATGCATCTCGCCGTACGTCACCGTGCTGCTTTCCCCCTCCGCGTTACCCTCCCAGTAGTAACACACGCGGTCTTTATGCTGTGGGAGGTGACGGTCGAGGGCGTTGTAGCACATGTTAGTCATCGCGCCATCAAACCACCTCACAAAGACTCTGCCTTTGCTCTTGTGGTAATTGTACTCCAGCACCGGCTTGTCTGCGGGCCACAACTTTTCCCAGTAAAAGTTATCGGCCGCAATTCGGCTCCAGAAAAGAGCAGGATCCTTCACCGATTCGGCGTACACTGCCTGACGCTCGGCCAGGGAATGTCCCACGTACGACCTGGCGCTGTTTGCCTTACAGGGCTGAACGATGTCGTGATCGTGCCGCGCACGGGTTTCCTCCACGGTAAATTCTTCCATGCCGTTGCTTTTCATCGCTTTTTGTGCGTCTGTGTGTTTTGGTTTTCTGCCTTACGCTCCCTCGCGCTGCTTCAGTGATTGCGTGCGTGCATGTGTGTTGCGGCGGTGGAGAAAAGAGAGGGGAGACCAGGAAGCAGTGAGGAAAAAAAAGTAATTAGGGCCGCAAGAACAAGAGAAGTGAAGGATAAAAAAGGCGTTTTTTTTTATTCTAAAGTGCAGGGACACCCACGAGAAGCCGGTGCTGCACACACACACACGCCGCCTGCGGCTGCGGCGGCGGCCACTCCGTAACGGAAAAGGCGCAGGTGCGTGGATGCAGTTAACACGTGGGGCTGCGGAGTTGCCTCTCCATCCCGCTACTGCCTTACCTCGTCGTTTTTGTTCAGAAAGAAAAGGAGAAAGTCGCGCCGGCGACGCGTCTGCACCGGGGCGTCACCCGCGATGGCCGCAAGGAGCTTTGGCACCAGCAGCACCACGACCACCACGGAGGTGAGCACCAACACGACGTGCCACACAACGAGGCGGCTGAGCCCCGTCGTCGTCCCCATCGCCTCCACGCGCAGGTTGTAGGAGAACGTCCGCCACCTGCCGGGCTGCGCCGGGAAGGCGGTGCGTTTGCCGCGAACCTCCAGCACAGGCACGAGGTCCCCCGCCGCCGTGTCCGCGTTGTCGACGTCGCCGTCGCCGTCAATGTAGTCGAAGCGCAGGTTATCCGCGTGTGTCCGCACCTGCAGCATGGCAACGTCGGCGAGCTTCAGCCGGCCGGGGGCGGCGGGCGCCGCTTCTTCCCGCGTCGCGGCCTCTATCACGGACCTCTGCAGCAGCCCCACGTGGAGCCTGTACTCCATCGACGGCGAGCCCAAGTACGAGAGGTGAATGACGTACCGCCGGCCCCGCTCCAGCCCAGTCAGGACGTAGCGGCGCCGCACCTCCGTCACCGCACTCGCGGGAAAAGTCACGGTGTCGTTGTAGCGCACCTCCCCCACGCGCAGCACGTCGTATCCGCCGTCGTAGGCGTAGTGCGCGGAGGCCTGCGTGGCGCACGAAAGGAGCAGCGCATGCAGCAGAGCGAGACTAAGCCACATAAGTCAGGCAGCGCCTGGCGTTATTATTGCCTCAGCGTGAAGGACTCCTGCGTTGCACGCGCGTGTGTGTCACATTCCAGACAAATGAGGGAAAGAGAGAAGGGAGAGAGGGAGAGAGAGACAAGAAGATGCGGAGAAGGAAGGTCCATGACAATAGGCGAGAGGGAGAGAGAGAGAGACACGCCAATGCATTAGCTCAGCGTATCCCAAGAAAAAGGAACCTACAACGCAGGGCCGCATGCATCAAGGGCAGTCCAGTCATCGTCGCTGCCGTGGCCTGCGCAGAAGGCCTGGCCAGTCATCCAGTCCAAAACCGCGTGCCTCACCGTGTGCGGTGCCGTATCCGCGCGGCCGCGGCGTCTGTCTCTTTGCGAGGCACACCATGAACGCCTCGTCACTCCCACGGCGGCTCGAGGAAGGCTTACAAAGCGTGACACGCACAAACCACCTCTGCAGTTCCCTGTGCAGCTCCTCATACGCGGTTGGTGTGCCAAGGACTTTGCAGACAAAATTTCCGCCCGGCTTCAACTGACTCGCGGCGAAGGCTAGCGCCTTCATGTTCAGCTCCACCTGCTTCTGTCGATCGTCGGTGCCGCCAGAGCCGCGGTTGAGGCACATGTCCGACAGCACCACATCCACCACCCCAGTGGCTTGAACGTGTGCCATGCGGGCGAGAAGTTCCTGCTGAACCGCCGTGTCGGTGAAGTCGCCCTGAATGCACGCCGCGCCTGTCACTGTGGGAGACACGTGCAGCAGATCCACCCCAAAGAGGGCACAGCGGTCGCCGCAGCGCTCACGTGCGACCTGCAGCCAGCCGCCCGGGCTGCAGCCTATGTCTACCACAACGCGTGTGCGGTGGTGGGCGAAAAGGCCGAATTTGTCGTCCATGTCTATCAGTTTGAAGGCACTACGTGCGACGTAACCGCGTCGGCGAGCCTCCAACACAAACGGGTCGCGGGCCTGCTTCTCCATCCACTGCCGCCCGCCTTGGCGCAAATACTTCAACGTCGCATGTAGCATAACGGGCTCCGCGCGTCTTTTTGTTTGTTTGTTTGTGTTTGTGTTCCTTCTCCCAGCGTGGACCCGCAGATGCCATGCACTCCGGCGGATGCGTGTGCGTGTGTATGTGAGGTGGGGTGAGCAGGGGCTGCCCCTCAACGCAACCACCACTCCACACAGGCGCTGCAGAGAGGCAATTCACACACGCCCCACTACACAGAAAGAGAGAGAGAGAGAGAGAGAGGCGACACGAGGGCGGAAGAAAGAATTAAGAAGATTGCATGCACGCAGTGGGAGCGGGAGCAAACGTCGCTCGCGGACGCCATCATGTGCGTCGGCGGATTTCCCGCTTGCCCCCAAGTTGACTCTCGCATACGCCAAAAGGAAAAAAAAAGGGAGGGGGGGGGGCGTTGTGAAGGCGAGGAGCCCCTCCAACCTTTTTCCGCCCCCGCGCTGAGGGAGCACCAACAAAGAGATGAGCAACAAGAAACAGAAACAAAGAAGTACGCCGTGCGGCGCCCTACAAGGCCAGGTTAACCCGCAGAAAAATGGATCACGGCATCATCGTCGTCGTGCCTCACAGCACACGCTGCATGCCCCAGATGACCTTCAGCTCCGTCGGCGAGCCCCCGTAGGTCATGGTGAGCTCCTCCCCCCTCGCCACGTCGCGCAGGGAGCGCAGGCAAATCACAGGCTCGTGCGCCGTGGGGGTGTGCTCCGGGACCATCAGCGCCACATTCTCATGCTCGCTGTGGTTGCACATATCAATCACGGGGCACAAAAACGCGATGGGTTCCTTCACGAAGTTTTTGTCCTCCTCCGGCCCGGCAGCCTCAAAGGCGTTTTCAAAAGGTGTCCCAAGAAACGCACGCCGCAGCGTCCGGCGGTGGTCAATCGGGGCCATACGGCTGAATATCATCGCTAACGACCACTGAAGCAGGGGGCGCACCTCGGCCTGCGTCACGTTGAAGTGCGCGGCCAGCGCCGACTGGCAGACCCGGCACACCTCTGCACCGTCCAGCGCACCACTCAAGTTGCTCGTGAGTTGCTCAAAGTCGCCCTCCTTGCGGGGCATGAAATTCACGTACTTGAGTGCCTGTTCCCCCTCAGTCAGACCGCTGCCAAGGATGAGGTAGGACATGTAGGCGGCAAGCAGGAGTTGGTTGTGCCTAATCAGCGACCGGTCCGCCACACGGCTGTTTTCAATAAAGGGCCGCCGCAGAAAAAACATCTCCCGCTCCCGCGGCGGGAGCAACTCAAAGAAGCGCTTCTCCCTCAATGCCTTCCCAGGGTGCAGGCAGGCACGCACGGAAAGCATCGCCACGTTCTCATCCTTCTTGATGTCTTTGTTGGCGAGAAGACCACGCATGCCACCACGCGGTGTGGTGCCTATGCGACACAGGCCCCGCGTGATCACCTGATGGGCCCGGCAGTACTCCACGAATTGCTTCGCCTGCTCCTGCGGGGACAGAAGAAGGCGCAGAAGGTGCCTGTTTTCATACACCGGCATACGTCCACACACAGCTGTTTGCCTCAAGAGCGGTCTGCCTCCGCCTTTTTTGCTCCCTGCGCCGCAGAAAAATTCCCCGGCATCGGACAATAAACCCCCCACAGCAAGGCGAAGGAGGGAAAGACACGAAAAGAAAAAGAGAGGGATAGATAAGCAGCAAGAGGGCAGACAGACAGGCAAAAGCAACAGGCGCCGTCGCCTGTATCCCACCCACACCGCCCTCCACACCTTCACTCGTGGAGGAGAACGAAGGTGGGCGTCGTGAGCAGGAGGGAAAGGCGGGAGGGGAGCGCCAGGGCGGGTTCACGTCGCCCACGTTAAGTGCCCTCACCACAACGAAGAATCACACAAACAAACAAACAAAATAAGAAAGGTAAGTACTATTGCACCGAGCGGGCTGAAAGCACCTAAACATCAAACAAATCCCTCCCCCCCCCACCTCCAAAAAAAAAATGTAGCCAAGCGTGTGCTAGAATACGTGTTCTACTTTTTATTTTCTAGCAACCTTGGCTTTTCGCGCTGCCATGGCCCGCTTATTTAAGGCAGCCACACGCGCCGGTGTGACATCCAGGCACTCGAGGTCAAGTTTTTCCCGCAGCGCCACGGCAAGCTTTTCCCGCTCCACCCCAGCGTCGTAGTTATCCTGCAGCCGGGCAATGCGTGCGGGGTTTGCGGTGTAGGCGGGCAGAGACATGGGCATGGCTGGGCAGCTGTACGCGCGCCTGACCAACGATAGTTTTCCTTTCTCTTTATTATTATTCTTCGGCTTGAATTGCCTGCAACGTAACGAGTTTGTGCGAACTTCTCCGCGAAATCAAAAAAAAAACAAAACACAACAAAAACAGAAGAGAGGCTGCGGCACACACGTGTGAAAAGGCAGGGAGGCTGCAACGAGTTTAGGTGAGGCAGAGGTGCATGCATGCACGCACACACAAGACACGCAGCCCGCTTCTTTGAGCCACGTAGCCTGTTGGTCGCTAGTACACATACGGGACAACAGCCCTGCGCCGCAGTGCCTTGTAGGCGTCCCCAAAGTGTTTGATGTACCACGCGTGGTGCGCTTGACCGCGCGGAAGCAGGTTTGCCATCACGTACAGGAAAAAGCTGCACGCCGCCAGCCCCGCCTCCGGTTTACTCGCGGCTGTGGTGGACCACACGACGAGGGTGTAGCCGCCCCACTCCACGATTTCCCCCAGGAAGTTTGCGCAGCTCACGTATTCAAATAGACCCCCGTGTGGAATCTTGCGCGTGCGCTTTGGTGGCTGCTCCTTCAGCCGCAGCAGGTGGTAGTCAGAGAAAAGGTTCACCCACATCCCCGCAAAGAAGACGACACTGCCAACAAAAAACAGCATCATGTGACTCATGGAGTCGAGCGGGAGACGAGGCACCGCGGGGCTGTCGCGAATGTTTGCCAGCAGTTGCAGCCGGCCGTTGAGGAGGCAGTACAAGGTGGCAGCCAGCGTGATTTCTATTGGCACCGGCGTCCCGCTGCGTAGGAGCAGCGGGTAGAGGAGACTGCGGTGTACGTAGTGAATGACGAAGAGGAGCAGCCCCAAGTGAAGCGAGGCGAGCCCGTCGGCGACCGCACGCGCCGCCTGCCCCCAAGTGTCCTCGAGCGCAATACGCGTCCACTGGCCGCCGCTGCACCCCAGCGAGTGGCACGGGTACTCCACGAAAAGGTAGTACGTGACACTCAACAGCGTCGGGCACTCCTGCAGCGCCCATGAGAGGGGCGCGGGCACAGTGGGGCCCAGAAACGTGCCCTCCGCGTGACGGCCGTAGGGAGCCACGCGGACGAGGCGCAGCGTCAGATACGTGACGACAGCCATCGCGAGTTGGAAGCGGCTCGCGGACGCAACGGCCCTTGCATCGCCCAGCGGCAGCAGGTACTGCTGGAGCAGAACCATGCACGGTGCCGCGGCAAGGAAACACACCGCCGCCGCCAACAGCGCCCTCCACGTGCTTGCGGAGCTGCCGCGCGGTCGCTCTGGCATGTGGTGGGCGCGCCTCTGCGTGCGCGACTGCCAAGAAAGAGGCGGAAAAATGGGAGGCGGATGTGCACGGGGTTCCAGCCCGCGGACGCCGTCGTGTGGCGGAGGAGGCAGAAGAGGCAGCGAGACGCGAGTGGCGATCGCGGCTGCCGCAGCGAAGGAGCGAAGCAGAAACGTAAACAAAACACGCGAGAGAAAAGAAAAAGCCACGCTCGCCGGAAGAGCACGGCACCTCGCCACGTCCTCAAGAGCGAGGGAAACACACACACCCACACACACACACACAGAAGCTCTTTTCCTCCTCGTAATCCCCGACGCAAGCGAGGCATGCGAAAAAAGAGACAAAAAAAACCGAAGAAAAAACACAAAACAACAGCAAAACCAAGAGCGAAAATATAGACAGCGACGTCAGTAGCAAAAAAACAAAACAAAACAGCAGAAACAACAATGTCCGAAAGTTTGGCAACTACGGACGGCTGCGCCACCCACCCCATCAGAAAAGGCGACGGGGATATTCACTAATGCGGACCGTAGATACAATACATGGGGTGAGCGAGCAAAGCCTAAAAAAAAAAGAACCACACACGCACGCAGAGGCGCACACGCACTGGCGTCTACAGAACAGCAACCCACTCCCCATTCCGTCGCTACTGATGACGTTCTACTCGCTAGCTTCCTATTCCCCAATTTCGCATGTCATTTCCTTTCCTTGCCGTGAGAACAAGCAATGCGACGAATCCCGTTTCACGCCATTTCCCTAAAATATTCCCATCCACCTGCCTCGCTTCAGTGGGCCATGCTTTTCATTGTATTCTTCCACCTTCTTGTTCTTCACGGCAGGCCCGTAGCTCTCCATCGAGTTCTGAAAGAGAAAACGAAGCTTCGCATCCGTGACATCCAGGCACTCGAGGTCAAGTTTTTCCCGCAGCGCCACGGGGATCTTTTCCCGCTCCACACCGGCGTCGTAGTTCTCCTGCAGCCGGGCAATGCGTACGGGGTTTGTGGTGTAGGCGGGCTGAGACATGGGCATGGCTGGGCAGCTGTATGCTTGTGTGACAGCGGGGCCGTATGCTATGCTGTCCGCAGTGGGCGTGCGCGCTCGTCGATCGTTTGCCCACGTCGTCGAAGGCGCGGGAAGAGGGAAGGCATGAAATGCGTGAGAGAAGAGAAGAGAAGAGAAGAGAAGGGATGTAGGAAAAGGTGATTGTGGGGAGGCAACACTGCAGCTGGCATGGCAACCCCCCCCCCCTCCTCCCTCGCCCCCTCCTCACACACACGCAGAGCCAGAAGGATAGAGAGACAGCGAGACAGATCGACAGACAAGATCCATTGAGCAGCGAGAACACGCAAAGCTCAGATTCACCCTCCGCTCTTTGCCTGCTCGTACACGTACATAGACATACAACCATTTTTCCTCTATGCGGTGAGACGACTTTGGGGCGCCCCTTTTGCCATCCAACCCACCTCAACGGCGATGCCCAGCGGAGGCAAATGGCCCGCTCCCCTCCCGCCACACGCAAGCAGAAAAGTAAAGGGAACGGCAAAAAAAGAAGACGACCCATACAAACACACACACACAGACAGAGGGAGAGAGCGACAGGCACACATTACATAAAGGATTGCCTCGAGGGTCAACACCACAGGACGGCAGAAGGGAGAGAGAAAAAAAAGCGGAGGTGTGGAAGTTACCGATTTTGTCGCCACCGCCAGACTCCAAGACAGTTCACCTTCTCTCCGCCCAACTGTGCAAATAAACGTCTACCCCTCTCTCTCGATCCGCTTTCGTTCCCTCTGCTTCTTCGTCAGTTTCTTTCAGTTCCCAGTTCTACGCGTGTTTCTCACGAGAGGCATTTTTTTTTCGTTTTCTTTTCTCACTCTCTTAGCTTCTTCTTCTATTACCTGTAGGCTTAAACACACTCCTTCTCTCCTTCTTCTTTTGTTTGCTTTGTGTGTGTGTGTGTGCTCTACATTTATTCATCGTCGCTCATCAGGGCATCCCCGTCCTCGTCCTCTTCGACTGCCGTGGCTGGCTTGGCACACACGAGCCGGGCGACGAGCAGCAGGACGAGTGCCACGACCGTCACCCACAGCGCCACCTCCACCACCGTCTTTTGCAGCGGCAGCAGCGAAGCGGAGGACGCTGGCGGCAGCCTTCTCCGTCCCCACCGCGAACCAGAAGGTCGTTTGCATCAGCCGCCGCACACACGGCAGCTCGCGCAGGGCGGCGGCGAAGTACGGCTGTGCGAGTTTGCCGATCACTAGTGCTGGGGCGTAGGTCTCGAGCGGCAGACGGGTGAGCATGGCGATTATCAGCCCCGCCTCGACCACGCCGTTGGGGACGGCGACGCACAGGACGAGCAGCCCCCAGCCGGCGTGGGTGGAGAAGAGTCGCTGCGGCAGCGTCCTGCGCGCGTTCGCCTTGTCGCCACGCGTGGTCCCCGCGAAGGAGGGAAGCCGCGGCGGGCTCACTAGCAGGCGCAGGAGCAGCAACTCCACCAGAATACCGCCCAACGCGTAGAAGAGCTTCTCCACCGGCTGCGCCGCAACGGCCCTGACGAAGTTCATCAACGGCGCCGCGGTCCCGGAGGACGTTGCCGAGGGCGCCGCTGCCGCCGGCGGGCCCGGCATGAAGCGGAGTCCAGGCCCCACTAGCGCCACGGAGGTCGCTCCCGCAAGAAACTGATGGACGTGGGGCCGCGCCGCGGGGGGCACGGCGCCGACGGCTCTGTCCCTGGCGTACCTGCCGAGCCTCAGCCCGCCCCTAGCGCCGTCCGCGATGGCGGCGGCAAGCGTGTCAGACATCGTTGCGCCAACGGCAGGGCGGGTGGCCACCGCGGCGGCGAGGAGGAGCGCAACGCCGAGCAGCGAGGCGTAGAAGCAGCAGCGGGCGACCGTGCGGAGCGTCATTGCGTGGGCCAAGTGTGCGCTGTTGATCCCAACCAAATTTTCCCTTTCCCCCCCCCACAAAAAAAAGAAGACACCAAGAGACGAGGAATACGTCCGCTCATGACACGGCAGAACAACCCGAGACAGACTGAGTAAGTGAGTGGGTGGAACGACAGGGGGCGGACCCCACGCACACGCGCGGCCTCCGCAGAGGCTAGAGGAAAGCAAGTAGTAACACACCACAGAGAGAATCGGGGGAGGAGGAAATCTGGCAAGCAATGGACATCAAAGAAGAAAATTTCACACACAAATCACGCGATAGCTCACGCGGCGCTTTTCACAAGTGCCCCGCAGGTGCGGGGCGCACTCGCGCGGCGAATGTGCCGCAACAAATCCGAAAAAGCGGCGGACGCAGAGCGTAGAAAAAAAACACGCAGAAGGGAATTATACGCGGAACTGCAAGCGTTTGCGTGTGTGTCAGTGTGCATGCGAAAAAAAAACATGCATACATCAAACTCACAGTTGCCACCGCCGCGTCGCAGGAGCGACACTTTCCTCCCTCAGGCCCCGCAGTATAAACGCCGGCGTGACGCAGCGGAGGGAGGAGGAGTAAAAGGAGGGAGAGGCAAAGAGAGGGGGAGCAGCAAATAAGAAAGTAAGGACGAAAAAGAAAAGAACACAAAGAGAGAAGGGTAGTGAGAGAGAGAGAGAGAGAGAGAGAGAGGAAGAAG